GATTCTTGGTCTCCAGTCTTTTGGTCTTGTCTCGACATTTTTTTTCGACTCTTGTCTTGACTCTTGTTTTGAAAACCAAGATAAGACCAAGACAAGACCAAGATAACTCTTGGTCTTGCGTAAAGCCCTACTTCTGAAATTTGTACTTGCGGAAGTTGTCCTGGATGTGACTGAGACCCCCTGCTCGACGAACTCTCAAGTTGTGGTTGCTTGGCTCCGTGGACATCCAGCCCGATGGAAGATGTTTACAGCTAATCGGGTCAGTGGTATCCACACCCTCTCGTTTTCAGCCATCTTTCGTCATGGGCTGACCAGCCAAAACCTGGCCGACAGTGCCTCCTGGGCTACTCTGTCACTCAACTTCGTGATCACGAGATTTGGTGGCATGGACCCTTGTGGCTGATACAGCCGCAGTCGCACTGGCTTACTCTTCCGAGCAGAAACCCAGCACGGACTTGGAGGCCCACGTAAGAGATACTTTCCTTGCCATCGCGGAAGACGCAACTTTTTGTCAGCAGTGGCTCTCCTCTCATCCATCACTTAAAAAGACTGTCTGGATTTTGGCCCCTATTCACCGATTCAAGGAAATGTCAACTAATCCAGAATGGCGACCTTTGCCCTAGCTCACGGCTGCTAAACTTGCCGCTGAACGCACATATCTGTGGCGCTTAATTCAGCAGCTGAAATTCCTGCAAGAGAACGAGTCACTGCTGTCCAACCCGCCCGTCAGCCCCTCCAGTCGCCTTCGCCGATGAAATCCGTTCATGGTCGTCAAGTATGTAATTTGAATAGGAGGATGGCTACAGAACTCAGACCTTGCGAAGGTGAAGAAACACCTGATAATCTTGCCAGCCAAGCACCCAGCAACTTCGCTCTTGGTCACGTTCAGCTTCCTTAACAGGCAGATTTTGCTTCAACGTGTCGTGCGCCAATTTGTCTCGTGCGCAAGGCATAGGGCCAGTACCATGAGTCAAGTGATGGGCTCTTTGCTCGCCCCGCGAGTTCAGTTGCGCCTGCACTAACGTTAGGGTGGATTACGCTGGTACCTTTTGGTACAATGCCACTTTCGGTCGAGGCAGAAGGGCTTTGAAAAGCTATCTAGCCATCTTTGTGTACCTCTCCACCCGGGCTGTGCACATAAAAGCAGTCTCTGACTATTCCTCACTCACGTTCCTTGCTGCTTTTCGGCGTTTCACAGCACAACGAGAATTCTATCGTGCGCTCTACAGTGACAGCGGTACCACTTTTCGAGGAGCAGACTCCAAGCTTCGCCGTATACTCCGTCAGGACTCCGCCTTGTGTCAAAAAGTCACTGCCGCAGTTGCTTTAAAAGGCGTTGAATGACATTGTATACCTCCAAGCGCACCTCATTTTGGTGGTTTGTGGGAGGTAGCCGTCCAATCGCTTAAAGTTCACTTGAACCGCATACTAGGTGAACAGCTGATGACTTACAGGAATTGAGCACGCCCAGGATGCAGGTGGAGGCTTGCTTCAACTTTAGTCCGATCAGCTGGATCAGCTCCAACGTGGGCCACTTTCTCATCGGTGCAGCCTTACTTGCTACCCCCTGATATCGAGGAGCATGTCGACTCGGGACACCTCAACTTTAAGTGAAAGCGCATGCAAGTGTTGAGAGATACTTTCTGGGCTCGATATAGCGTGGGACTCCTAGTCCAGCTACAACAGCGGAATAAGTGGTGTAAGGAGTGCCCCAACCTTCAGCTGAATGATATCGTCCTCATTAAAAACGAGCTTCAACCCCCCTAGCAAGTAGCTCAAGGGTCGGATGGTACGTAAAGATACCTGTGTGTCACGATGGTGGTAGCCAGCTGTCACGTGCTACCAGTGGCTGCTGCACAGATGGTTGTCTTTTGCTCGACGTCCTCTTGGGAGCCCTCTTGGTCTAAAATCGTGGTCAGGGCGCACTTCGCCGAAAAGTCTGACGCTGGATATTGTTGTCTTTTCTGGTGCAGAGCTGTATGGTGTTTCACTTAATAAGCGTGACAGCGTTACTTGGACTAGCACTCGCCTTCTTCACGTCGCCGTCGCGGTCGTCTCCCCTCTAATCCATTTTCGGAAATATGGCTGCTTGATTGGGCCTTATTAACGTAATTAAATCAAATGGCTAGATAGCGTTGCGGTGTGCTCAGAACTCGGCTTGAAGGACCAAATGTTCGTGCTGATGAATTGAGCGTTGATTAAAGTATGCTTACACTCGCTGGGTCGAGCAACACTAGAAATAGGAGTTGGTGAGGTGACACACAGATACACGACAATTTAACGCACTGTGTTTATTGATTTATTGTCCTGAACTACATTGATGCGCATTCAAAGACGGCGGGAGCAACTTGTTAAAGAGTTTAAGCGAAAAGTAACGAGCGTGGTGAAGTATCGTTCGCGAGCTGATTTTCTTTTCCTTTTTTATCAACCTCGTGGCCACGTGTATTCTTATTCACGTTCAGAAGCTAACTGTTTTTCCGCAGTCTTATCATGGAGGGTGTGCAAGCAGAGAAATTGATTATCAATTGGATCGATGAGAGTTTTCTCTTGGAAACCCAGAAATTTAAAAATATCACAACGGCTATAACAACCTGTGCTTAGAATATATTGATGTTGCATAATATAGATATACCATTCTGATCATCGATTTCTTACTAGATGAAGTTGATAAGTGATACTGACTCATAAAATATCGATTATTTTTGACATAAGAAGTGGCTCAAATTATGAAAAAACTGCGCAAAACCACACTGTGTCAAAAGTCGGAACCTTTCAGTGCAGGGTTGGTACAAAATTTATACATCTTACGAGACGAAGAGAAGAAAGCCTTAGAACACAATAATTATCGCCCATAGCTTTGGCTCGAACGTATATGTACAGATCTTTCGAAGCACGGCTTCATAACAGTTATGTTACGTTGAGCGAACTTTGGCATCGAATATCTTGAAATATTTTACGATAACGGACAAAAAACGTGTATTTCGACGGTATCATGAATTTTTACGTTTAATTTTTTATAGGATATAAAATGCAAAACAAGAAAGTTAAATAAGGAAAAACGGCTTTTTATTTATTTTGCTAGCCTTTTTTGGCTTATAAAACGTATAGATTAAATCCTAGGTAAAATTTTGAGTACAAAAAAGAGTTTTTCAATGAGATTTACAACTTAAACATCTAATTTTATCATCCAAAATGTAAAACAACTAAGTAAGATAGAAAAAAACTGTTTTTTCGATTTTTAAGCATTTTTTGGTTTCTAGAACATTTGGGTTATAAGTTAAAAGAAAATGTCAAGTCCAAAAAAAGTGTATTTTAATCACGTGTATAACTTTGTTTTCTACAGAAAACGTCAAAAATGTTACGTAAGAAAGTTATAGCTAAAAAACTGTTTTTTTTCTTTTCACTGAAAGTACCTGTACTGATATATATATATATATATCTA